GGAATATCCACTATCCAGGTACCACTTCCCTTTTTTAACTTTGGACTTAAAACAAACCTACAAAATGACAATCAAGTGTTGGTTTTTGGTACCCATAGTTTCTTGGGTACTTCTTGGTTAGTTTTGTTAGATCCCTTAACAATCCAAATCTTTTTAATTCTCATGTTTATATTATTTTTGAATGGACAAGAAGATATATAATGGCTTTTCTTTTTACAATAATGACAAGTAATATGAGGGTGAGTCATGAGAGGTGCATTTTCAAAAATTGTATTGAGACTCTTTAGTTTTTTAATAGGGTCATATCCAATGCCCGCCTTATTAAAAACGCATCTTTGATTTCCAAGAAGCATGTAAAGATTATCTCTACCTTTTACAAAATTTTCAAGTGTTTTTGTTAAATCATCAACATTGTTTTGTAAAGCAGTTTTCTCATTAAAGATGGTGTCAAAATCATTTTTTAAAACAATTTTTTCTTTCTTTAATTCTTCTACATTAATAGATAAAGATGCAACAGATTTCTTCAGCACATTATTTTTGGCACAAACTTTTCTAAATTCATTTGACAGTTCATGGAATGTACTTTCAAGTTTTTCATAAAGAGTAGTTACCTCATCTTGAGTAGAGTCTTCATGTTCAAGAGCCATGAGACATAAGTTGGCTACTTCATTTTCAATTTCATCACTTGAGTTTTCATATTCACTTTCTTCCCAAACTGCTACCATGGCCTTTTTGTTTCTTTTGTAGTCTTTTCATAATTTTTCAATTTTGGACAATCCATCTTCATATGTCCAGGATTTTTGCACTCATAACAAATAATAGACTCTTTCTTGTTATCTTTGTTGTACTCTTTCTTGAAAGATCTTCTTCATCCATAATTGTTTGAAGTGCTTTTTGAGATTTCTACTAAATATGGCATAGCTTTCATCCTCACTGAAGTTTCCATGTTTTTCTTCATTTGATGAGGTTTTGAATGCAATTCCACTTTTCCTTTTGTTTTCAAGATCCTCATGTCCTTTCATGGTGATCTTATAAGTCATAAGGGAACCCATGAGCTCATCCAATCCAAGTGTGGAGAGATCTTTGGCTTCTATAATGACGGTGACCTTTGCTTCCCAATTCTTTGGTAAACACCTAAGAATTTTTCTTACTAACTCATTGTTAGTATAAGTTTTGCCAAGAGATTTCAAAGAGTTTACAATTTCAGTAAATCTAGTAAACATTCTTGAAATAGATTCATCAGAATTCATTTTAAACAATTCATAACTATGAACAAGCATATCAATATGAGATTCCTTTACTTGGTTTGTACCTTCATAAGTTACTTCAAGTTTGTCCCAAATTTCTTTTGCCGAATCACAACTTGAAATTCTATTATACTCCTTAGAGTCTAATCCACAAACAAGGGTGAGTTTGGCTTTAGCATTGGCTTGCAATAATTTGCGATCCCTCTCATCACATTCATCTTTAGTTTAGGTACACCAATATTGTCTACTAATTTGGTAGGAATTTTTGGACATTTGGTGACAATAATGTACATAGCATAATCAATGGCTTGTAGGTATAGGGTCATCTTATCTTTCCAATGACTGTAGTTGTTTCCGTCTAATAATGGTGGCCTATTGGTGGCTTGTTCTTCAGTAGTGCTAGTGTTAGCTAAGGTTGTCATGGATCGAAACTCTCAGATGGTTAAATCTAAAGCAAGTCTAGGCTCTGATACCAATTGTTACCCAAAAGACAACTTAAGAGGGGCGTGAATTAGGTTTTTACAATTAAAATTAATAATACTCTAATAAAAATTATGACTAGCACAATAGATAAATATAATTAATGAAATAAAAATAATTAAAACAAGTGTCTTAACAACTATGTCAGTTAATGATTTTAGCACAGTAAAAATGTGAAACATAGCTATGGCAATTTAAAATAAAATAAAAAGATAAGGGAGAGAGAGAGGCAAACAAATTTATAGTGGTTCGGCTTCAACTCGGCCTACGTCCACTCCTCAAGCTTCACTTGAGATTTGCCACTATTTTCTAGCTTCACAGGAGTGCTAGCAACCTCTTTACAAATGGAGCAATCCTCCACGGATTTTACACAGACTTCACAAGTCCAAACCCTTGCAAATCTTAGGTGATTCACAATCACTCTCAAGATTTCAAGAACACAGTGTTTACAACACTTTTACAAGATGAAATGGTATTTTTACTTTCAAAGAAAGTTTACAATAATTATCTCTCAAAGATAGATACAAAAAATGAAGTTTTGATTTTTCTGTAAATCTCACACAGAAAAGATGGGCTTAAAGCTATAAGGCTCAGTGTATAATTTCTGAGAATAGATGTGAGTGATTATAGATCAAAGAATATTTTCATATTTTTTTTGTAACTTGTTTACATTAGAGACTTTGGTATATGTAATGAAAATTATAGCCGTTTATAGCCGTTGTATTCATTTGAATTTATAGCCGTTGTACTTCCATCATTACCAATTTGAATATCTTCCACTCCATCGTTACAAATTTGAATATCTTCCACTTGAACCTTTTGAATCTTTTGGCCTTTTGAACGTTTATAGATGTTGTACTTCCATCATTACTAATTTGAATATCTTCCACGTGAACCTTTTGAATCTTTTGGCCTGCTGTTGTGCTAGGCTGTTTGAACCTTTGTTTTGGGCTGTTTGAACTCCTGATTTAATCAAATATTAAATACATTCTAACAACATTTAGGATAAAGATTTAGGTGGGAAATAATGGGACAAAACAAATTTTGATTCTATTTTTCTCTTTCAAATAAATCATCAAAATAAATTTTGATTCTATTTTTTTCTTTCAAATAAATCATCAAAATAAATTTTGATTAAAATATAATTAAATAAATCATCAAAATAAATTTTGAATTCTATTTTTCTCTTTCAAATAAATTAAAACATAATTAAATAAATTATCAAAATAAATAAGTCTAACATTTAAAAATCTCAAACATTTTTCAAAAAATATATCCAAAAAAAGATACTCTCCAAAGAAAAAGTAGCGCGACTACTTGAATTGATGAATTTATGAATCTGTATTTATCAATTTTATTACTAGTATCCGAAATAAAAAATAATAATATTATACAAACAAAAAAAATTATATATAATTTTAATATATAATAATATGATTCATTATAAACCTTTTATTACAAACAAAAACACATTAACTATGTTTTTATTTATAACAATAACATTGCCACATCAATTTTTTAGAATTTGTGTATAAATTTTATGTACACATAGAGTTTTTTCATAAAAAAATAATAAAAAAAAGAACAAAAAAAAAATACTTTATTAACCATTTGGCTTGGTGGATTTGTATTTATCAATTCTTAAATAGCAGAGTATTCTATTGAAAACCTCATCACTTCCCATTCACTGGAAAATGTGTGAAATCACCAACCCAACAATTTCCTTATCCAGTGGAGGGTTAGGTTTGGTCCGTTTGGTCACTATGTAAAACGGTTGCTTTTAGGGAGTCCGGATGCTCTCCCGCTTGAATCTCCGTCCATTACTTCGGGCGATGGCTCAGATTGAGCCACGTCACTTAGAATAAATAAACAGCTCAGATTTGTTTTTTTAAATAAATAATAATAATAAAAAATATACACACCTACTAACACATACACTCACAGCACACACACTCTCTCTCAGTCCCTTTCTCATTGACACACACTCACTCACTCTCTCTCTCTCTCTCTCTCTCTCTATCACATTTCTAACAAAAAAAATAAAATAAAATCACACATTCTCTCTCCATCACACTTCTAATAAAAATGAAAAAATTATTTTAACTTTTTCATTTGATTTTCATAATATATATATAATTTTAAATATAAAATTTTATTTTTTATAAAATTAATATCATTGAAAATATACTTTTAAAATAAGACTAATATTAAATATATTTAATAAAAATTTAAAATAAATAAAAAGTAATTACTATATTTAGTTATGCTTTCAAAGTATTATTTTTAAAATATAAAAATTATTTTGATGAAAATAAACACACAAAAATCATATATTTTTGAAATTCTAAAAAACAATCTTCATTCCAAAAAAAAAAAAAACATATAAAAATAATGACTTTTAATTTAATTTTATTAATTTGATGAAATAAACACACAAAAATCATATATTTTTGAAATTCTAAAAAACAATCTTCATTCCAAAAAAAAAAAAAACATATAAAAATAATGACTTTTAATTTAATTTTATTAATTTGATGAAATAAACACACAAAAATCATATATTTTTGAAATTCTAAAAAACAATCTTCATTCCAAAAAAAAAAAAAACATATAAAAATAATGACTTTTAATTTAATTTTATTAATTTGATGAAATAAACACACAAAAATCATATATTTTTGAAATTCTAAAAAACAATCTTCATTCCAAAAAAAAAAAAAACATATAAAAATAATGACTTTTAATTTAATTTTATTAATTTGATGAAATAAACACACAAAAAAAAAAAAAATGCATCCTCTGTTCTTCTTCCATTTCAGAAAAAATGAATTTTTTTTTTTTTTATCTGGGTCGTAGATCTTCAAAGAGCCGCGTAGCCAAATCGTGGCCGTTGACCGGAGGACGGGAGGAAAGAGTGGCTGGAGAGATCCGGACTCGCTTTTAGGACCATCAGAACAGGACACTGACCATATCTTAATCCGCATCAATAAAGCAATACAGATGTGGACGGAAGAAGAGAACGTTACCAGCATAGCATCCTAGTAGAGTGTATTTTGTTTTTTGTTTTTTTTCCCCCCTCGAAAGTAAACATTGAATCAGTGCATTTTCATTCTGTCAAATAAAGTGCTTACTATTCACAAACTGATCATACACAAAATTATTAATAATTATTATTATAAAAAAATATGAATTTAAAAAAAAAAAAAAACGACAACATAACAATCCACGTATATACACCTCATCATCAAAGGCCTGAGACTTGGTACAATACTCTAAGATCAAATACCTTCGAGAGTAAACATAAACTTGTAGCAACATCATGATCACAAGATGGTCAAAAGAAAAGGGTAATGAATTGGAAGTTCATCCTTTTGGTGTCAAAATAGATAACCATTACTAGAGAACAAAACAATAAACACCGGATTCGTCTTTTAGTCCAGTACTGTATACAGATATACGGTTAATGTTATAGACAAAAGCAGCCTTATATGAGACTTTCATACCTTTCTTGCTTGTTGCATATAGAAAAATCCTGCGGGGCTTCACCATCCACATGTGAAGACATATCTCTTACATCGTAACCATCCCAATCCACTAGAAGACTGTCACTAGTCGCAGGACAGTTTTGGTCTCCATCTTCCACAAGAATTAAGTTACTTTGCTCACCAATTACAGTATTATCTCGTTGCTGGACACACGGAGCTTCAACCTCAAATTCAGGAATGCTAGACAAAAGGCCTCCAAGAGGGGACTTGATTCTGGAAGTTTCCCAGGAAGCAAATTTCACATCCAGGATAGGAAGTTCAAAATCCAATACACAAGAAATGGATGGATATTCGAAAATATTTTGCAACACATCTTTTTTAGACCCTTCTACTACATCTTTAGCACCTGCAACAGCACCTCCATGGAAAGCATCAGAGCTGCTGCTAGTCTCACTTTGAAGGAACTGTCTCAGAATGTCAGTTTTCTCAGAAACAGGAATATTAATTCCATTGCTAGCTTCCCCTCTGCCAGTTGACACAGCTGTCTGACAATCATCTGTTTGTGCTAGTACCCCATGTTCAGCTTGAGAAGTGAGACAGTTAGCACTAGTGCCCAGAGAACTGCAACTAGCATTCCCTTTATGCAACTGGTCGTGTCCATGAACTCCTTGAGATGTTTCCTTGAAGCAGTCATCATCCGGATTTCCCATCACTTGCCCCATACCCAGTATTGAAGGAGAGCTGCTGCAGGTCGAAATTGAATCATTCATGCACTGTCCGTTAGATTCATAGGAAAAGATGGGGGGAACTACAGGTTCGTCGCTTCGAGCACCAAGTGAGGTTACTTCTCCTTCATCACCATTTTCCTCAATTGTAAAATCAGGAGCTTTAACTGCAAGTGTTTGGGTATAATCAGAAGGCTGGACACTAGACGTAGATAAAAAGCCAGCAAGTGCAGCAGCTAGAGCATCGTCAATTGACAAAGCTTGCTTCATTTTTTCTTGTGGACGATCATCTAATGGTTCCACAGCATCATTGTTTTCCTCATCATCACCACATGAGAACTCTGGGGCAGTGACCACAAGACTTGGGAGAAACTGAGTATCATTCACTGAAACAGAAACATCTTCAGGTGGATTAGATAACTCATCACAAGGGATATCCTTCTTTTCCAATTCGAATGCCTCCCAAACAGAACAATCACTTCCCTCATTACAGAAGGAGACAGAATTGGATCCGTTGCATAAAAATGCAGAAGCAGAAATTCTTGCACCAGAACGCGACCCAGAGTACTGGAAATTCTTGGTGAGCATGTCCATTTTCTGCTCTACCCGCTGGAGCCTTGCCTCCATGCTACTTATGGGCTTTAGCATGTTTTCTTCAAACCTCAAGCAGACATCTTCTATTCTGCTTACTCGAGAAACAATCTGTTCCAGGACTCTCTCAAAGTGATCATTTGGCACATTATTTTTGGCAACAGGATCATGTCTTTGATCTGAAACTTGTGCCAGAATTGGGAATTGAGGCTTGGGTTCAGTCACTTCCAGCAATTTCACATCCTGCTGAGCAGCGATGCTTTCTTCCTGGTGAATTTTATCTACGATATTATTTGAATCAGTTACTCTTGACCCAAGTTCCATGGACTCTCCTTTTTCTGTTGTATCAGAATATTCATCTGCTCTTCTGTTAATTCCAGTTTTAGACAGTTGCAAAAGTGTAGGGGCAAGCATGGCCATAAGAGAACTTCCAGCATAGTTTCCCACCTGAGGAGCCTGAGTTTCTGAATCAGCTGGCTCAACAATGTCAGCAAATACATAAATCTCATCAACATATAGGCAACCTTTACTTTCAAGTGATAGCAAACGAAGTGTAAGGGATATGCAAGCATCTGCATCAGCAATCTCTGCTGTAGCCTCATAAAAATCCTGAAGAAAATTTTCAGTCAAATAGACATAAATAAAGAATTTGTATGTGCGTGCGTGTGTTCGTGTGTCAGTGGTACCCTCACTTAATTACAATGCCCTGTTTGGTAGCACATGAGTCAACTTAACTTGCTTGCTTAAAAAAAATTAATGGTGTTTGGTTGCAATTTTAAATTATCAATAATTTATTTGACTTTTCAACTTATATGGTCAATAAAGTGAGATTTTCTCAAGCTAAAAATTGTAATCTTAAATATGTATGGACAAAAAGGCCAAATACTTTGTCTTAATTGTTACTTGGGTTATTTACGCAGAGACCCTATAAACTATTGAGAAGCATCACTTTGACCTCCTCCTAAACTATAAAAAGCGTACAAATAAACCCCCTAAACTATTGAGAAGTATCACTTTAATCCCTAAACTACATCCGTGTTTTTCACTTTGACCCCTTCCTTTTCTGCATCATGAGTTAAAACAAACTTTTGACATTTTTTAAATGAAAATACCCGTCAACACTCTATATATTTACAATGCCGTTATTATTGTTTTTAATTTTTTTATATATAAGCATTCATCCACTATTTTTTTTTTTTTTAAATATTCGTTGTAAATATATTTTTGCAAAAAGAATATTTATAAATAAAAAAAAACAATAATAAAACAAAAAAAAAAACTCATATTATATATATATATATTAGTTAGTTTGATGAATGTTTATCATGAAGTTCACGCATCCCAAACATCTCCTTCCAGTATTATTCTCTGTGAATGCAGTTCTTGAAAGAGCTCTCATGCCACACTAGTAGTACACAGCACTCAAGTTTTGTGATTGCTGGCTACGGATGTGATTTCCTTCTTGTTTGAGCTTGTGTTACTACCGGATGCTATTTGTTTAGTGTTTGATGAATTATGGAGAGGAAGAGGTTTTGGGAGAAGGATTGGCAGAAAATTGAGACGAAGTGTTGTTGGGTGTGTTATTTAGTGTTAAAGAGCATATTCATCTAAAAAATGTTGAAAGTTTGGTTTAACTCACTATAACGTAAGGGGCTACAGACACAGGTATGGACACGGACACAGGACATGGCCATTTCTAAACAGGCATGACAGGGAACACGGCAAATTTTTATACATATATTTTTATTTGTTAACAAAAACTAACATAATAACATTAATTCAATAAATATAATATATAAATAAATACACATAAATTTATAAAGGCAATATAAATATACAATTTACAATATATATAAATTAAAATAGATATATATAATCTATGAAGGCTATATAATATTCTACGTTATATATATGTATATATATATATGACTCAAAGCTTCTAGAAAGAGAGAGAGAGATAGGCAAAGTGACAAAGAGATAGAAACATTGAAACTCGATCGAAGGCATCAAAGGTCATCGAAGCTCGTCGTAGGTCGACTGAAGGTCGAAGCTTAAAGCTCGGAGCCTCGAAGGTCGTCGAGTTCGTCGTCTCGTCTGATTAGGGCAAATACTAGGTCACTCCTCTCTTCTCTCTTTCTTCTCTTCCGTGTCCCTTGCCGTGTCCCACTATGTCCCACACCCAAAAAAAAAAAAAAGGGACGCCCCAAATGGCGTGTCCCCATTTCCAACATTGCTATGGCACTGAGTTTGTCGTGTCCGTGATTTTTTAAAATAAAAAAAATAATAAAACAAAAAACAAAAAAACCCATTATATATATTAGTTAGTTTGATGAATGCTTATCATGAAGTTCATGCATCCCAAACATCTTCCAGTATTATTCTCTGTGAATGCAGTTCTCGAAAGAGCTCTCATGCCACACTAGTAGTACACATCACTCAAGTTTTGTGATTGCTGGCTATTGGATGTGATTTCCTTCTTGTTTGAGCTTGTGTTACTACTGGATGCTATTTGTTTAGTGTTTGATGAATTATGGAGAGGAAGAGGTTTTAGGAGAAGGACTGGCAGAAAATTGAGACAAAGTGTTGTTGGGTGTGTTATATAGTGTTAAAGAGTATATTCATCTAAAAAATGTCAAAAGTTTGGTTTAACTCACTGTAACATAAGGGGCTACGAACACAGGTATGGACACGGACACGGACACAAGACATGGCCATTTCCAAAAAATGGGAACACAAGCACGACAGGGGACACAGCAAATTTTTATATATATATTTTTATTTGTTAACAAAAACTAACATAATAACATTAATTCAATAAATATAATATATAAATAAATACACATAAAGTTATAAAGGCAATATATAATATATAAAATAAAATAGATACATATATATATATATATAATTTATAAAGGCTATATAATATTCTAGGTTATATATATGTATATATATGAATCAGAGCTTGAAGAGAGAGAGATAGGCTAAGTGAGAGAGAGATAGAGACATTGAAACTCGATCGAAGGCACTAAAGGTCATCAGAGCTCGTCGTAGGTCGATCGAAGGTCGAAGCTCGGAGCCTCGAAGGTCATCGACTTCATCATCTTATCTAGTTAGGGCAAATACCAGGTCACTCCTCTCTTCTCTCTTTCTTCTCTTCCCAGTCCTTTGTCGTGTCCCGCTATGTCCCACACCCAAAAAACAAAAAGGGACGCGCCAAATGGTGTGTCCCCATTTCCAACATTGCTACGGCACTGAGTTTGCCGTGTCCGTGCTTCATAGGCAAAGGGTCCAAAGTGAAACATACCAATAGTTTAGGGGGTCTATTTGTACGCTTTTATAGTTTAGTGGATCAAAGTGAAATTTATCAATAGTTTAGGGAGTCCATTTGTTCGCTTTTATAGTTTAGCCTCCAAGTGATACTTGTCAATAGTGGGGTCTCCATGTAAATAACCCTTATAACTTTTGAGAGCATTACTCGATATTTTACTCAACAAAAAAGTAATTTGACAGCTTATTTAACCAAACAAGTATAACTTTTTTCATAGATTATCAAAAGCTGCACCAAACAAATTTGCAACTTAATTTGATTTTTTAAAGCTAATAATCGAACAAGCTATAATCATAAAACCTAACTTAAGAGTGATACCAAACAGGGCCTATAAAGCCTACACTATTATGGTGAAATCATCTAAAACTTGAATTGCATAAAATCAGCATTGGTTGGAGAGTTATTTCGTTTTAATTCCCGATGCCATGCACTTCAATAATTCAAGTGCAACAACCACCAAAGAAGGGAATGAAAATATGGACAGGACAAAATAACAACATGTGGACAATCAGTAAATGCACGTCTCCTCTCACGTCAATACTCCCTGGAATGGTGAAGTGACCAATAAAAGCACACCAAGTCCACATAACAGGGAATAGCATGCACCATATTTGCCAATGTGCCACATGGTTGTCAAAATCTTACAATCCATGATTTGATTCATACAATTTGATACGATTTTCAAGCAAAATGATTTGATTCATGCAATTGAATCTAAAATTGAATGAATCTTATGATTCATTGCAATTTATTACGATTCATTGCGATACCAATGATTCAAATTTGTTTGCATAATGCATGAAACAACATTGTTTTCGCAAAATGAAAAAGAAATCAACTAATTGTATTGATATATGTGTGGTTTTATTTGTATATACATATATACAATTTAGTTCTATTGATATTTAACTCATTTTAAACCTAGGAAGCATGGATACAAATACGAATACGGATATGAGATACAAATACGATGATACGACAAAACTTAAAAAAATAGGATACGGGAACAGCTACGATATGTTTGTAAAAAAAACTATATTTTTTAAATTATTAGTAGCGAGTCACACATAAGCTAAAGAATGTTGAGAAACCACACTGTAATTTTATAACGCAAAATACTAAGAATTAGGTATTAATTTAAGTCAATAGTTTGTTTACTTCTTAGATTTTCAATAGGTCTTGCAAATATTTCATTTTAATATCAAGTCTATCTATTATGTTTATATTACAATAATAGAGCAATCCACTACTTGTCCCTGTGCTTTTTTCTTTTAAAAAATGTTGTATTCAAGTTTACTTGCTTATTTATTTATTCATATTTAATTTTAGTATTGTTATATTCTCTTGTTAATCTTTACTTTCTATGCAGTTATAGAGGACATGCATGAAACAATAAGAATACATCAATTTGACAAATTCTATAACTTCAACTCACTATGTTCTCCTTATCAAATAACTAAACAAAGTACTAGAAAAATATTCTTGTATTTATCCTTGCATTATTTCTATTATAATGATATACAAGAAATGCAAGAATTTTAATTTCGTAAAAGAAGTAATGACTTGGGAGTGTCTAATATTTCAAAATTAAGTTTTCGATACTCCAAAATTAATGAAAAATTAATTAAGAAGTATCCGATACTTTTAATAAGTATCTGATACATATCAACAAGTATCCAAGGAATATTGGTATCCAATACGGATACGTCAATCCTTTTGAAGTATCCGTGCTTCATAATTATAAATACTAAAATGTATATTTTTATATGCATATACATATATAAAATTATATATTATGCTAAATAAAGTGAATCTTACAATTTACGATTTGATACGATTCATAACTCACTATTTTAGTAAAACATTCGATTTGCTAGTTGACAACAATGATGTGCCATATAATCGTAGTCAAGCAATGCCAATTACTGATTACCAGCAAGACTTAATTACCCACTTTATTGCACTAGAGAATAGAGCATTCACTGGAGACGAGCAAGACCACGCCAGAAAATACATCAAAAGGATGGTGCATAAATGAGAAAGAAGATTTAAGACTAAAGTATCAAGGAAACAGGATATCAATAGCTTCAATGAGTCAGGACTTGAAGAAACCATAATACCTGAATGCTTGTTCCTAGGATGACATCAATCTTTTTGGGCATTGAAGTGTTTTGGTTATCTTGCAATGAAAGATCAGGGACTTTCACCTTTACCCAGTCATCTTCATTGGAGGCAAACTTCCCATCATCATTGCATTTATCTTTAGCCAGTTCTCCAGCAGACCCATCTGGCTGTGCATCAGCAGGTTCTTCAGTATTAGTTGGATGGAGTACTTTACCATCTCTGGCAGCAATGCCGCAGCGAACTGTACAGAGATACTCATTGCCAACATGCAGTGAAGGTGCAAAATAAATCTCAAAGACTCGAGCTGTACTTCGGATATAGACCTGCCGGACCTCATGCTTTTGTGTGAAACTTACTGAAGTTGTGGAAACTCGAATTAGTTACTCAAAAGAACAATGGTATTGAGTAACTTGGAAATTTTAGTTAAGAAAGACAGCTTTGCATTGGAAAAACGTGGTTTGGGGGAAAAAAATACTTGCCATCACCCACAAAAGTAAGACACAAATTCAGTTCTAAATTTGCAAAGAATCCAAATTACCTTTAAGCCCAAGTTTCTTAAAATATATACATGTGTATATATATTTTTAAGATAAATTACGCTAACCTCCCCTGAGATTTAGTACCCTGAGGTTTTGGAAATTATGTTCCCCTCCATATGATCTACATTTGCATTACAATTTTCCCCCTCCACTAGTCAACTTTTTGGTCAACCAACAAATTAGCCCAACCTTAGCAGTTACATTTTCTAAAATGCTTATTTTAACCCTAACTTGCCATCACCCACAAAAGTAAGACACAAATTCAGTTCTAAATTTGCAAAGAATCCAAACTACCTTTAAGCCCAAGTTTCTTAAAATATATACGTGTGTATATATATTTTTAGGATAAATTACACTAACCTCCCCTGAGATTTAGTACCCTGAGGTTTTGGAAATTATGTTCCCCTCCCTATGATCTACATTTGCATTACAATTTTCCCCCTCCACTAGTCAACTTTTTGGTCAACCAACAAATTAGCCCAACCTTAGCAGTTACATTTTCTAAAATGCTTATTTTAACCCTAACTCCATCATTATAGCATCATTGACTCTCTGGATACCACCACCACTGGTTTGTAATAAGTTTCGTAAAGGCAACCTGATCAGCCCCTTCACTGTTTGGTCCCAACACCAGTTCAAGCAAGCGAGCTTGTCTCTCTATCGCTACATATCTTCGCATTCCATTGGAATTTTTTTTTTTTTTTTTTGTACTTACTGAATCATTAATTGATGAGATTTGGGAAACGATACCTTCCACCTCTGTTCTGTTTTGGGCTTTTGAAATCCATACAATGGTCTTATCACCACCAAGTCCCCTCCCTCTACCTTCCAAATTGGAAGTCATGAGGGTCTTGTTATTTCATTACATAAAAATTTATATGTATACATCTATATATACACATAGTACAGACATATATATAGATAAACCAAACCAACCCATTTGGTGGGACTTAAGGCTTGGTTTGGTTTATCTATATATATGTCTGTACTATGTGTATATATATGGGATTTGAGAGTTTTGGTTGATGAATGGTGATAATTTGCTAGTAGTGGTTGATGGTGATGTGGGGAGTAACTTTGATTTTGCGATTTATTGAGTGATGGGTGATTATCACAAAGGGATACTCCAGATGAATTGTAGTATGATTAAACATGTTATCGAGGACAGTGGCTCATTTTGATTTGTGATTTATTTGGGAGTTTTGGATTAATCCGGGGATGTAAAAAAAATCTACCATTCCCCTCAAAGACTCCAGATAAATTGAAGTGTGATTAAATCTGTTTTTCTTTTCCTTTTTTTTCTTTTTTTCTTCTTTTTCTTCTTTTTTTTTTTTTTTTTTGTTGAATTTGATTGAATCAAAGTGGGCTTGCAACTTTCAGAGTCGAGGAGATTAGGCATCCATCTGCCAATTGTGGTTTCCAAGTATAAAAATGTGTACGTTAATCAAATTTCTCATTGGGCACCACTACAGTTGGTTTTAACCATCAACGTAAATATGAGTTCAAAGGTGAGAAGGAGGAGGAAAATAGGTAAATGATAAAAAGGTTAAAAGGCCTCATTCAACTATTTTTGTTGACCTCGTTATTGACAAACACTAACAAGGGGTGTCAATGTAATCCCCAGGGCGTGAGGAGGTAATCTATGCTAAGAGATTGAATCACCAGATGTCCATTGTGTTTTGTCGCATCATTTTGTGGAGATTGAATAACTAAATGCACCTCATCTTTGTCATTTGGGGGTTTCTCAGGGTCTACATCTTGTAACAAATGGGGCGCATGTTTCTAGAACAAGTTTTCATGGCACTTTTGAGCACAAGTTTCGTCACACGATTTTGAGAAAATTGAATCACTACATGCACGTCGGGTTTCGCATTTGAGTGTTTCTTAGGGTCTACTTCTATCCTGTCAGAAATGAGGAGCATGTTTCTGAAACGCATTTTCGTGCCACTTTTGAGCACAAAATCCGTTGCATGATTTTGAGAAGACAGAATCATTAGGTACACATAGGGTGCATTGAAAGCAAATCTCATGGGGTGTAATTTAACCATATATTTATAAACCTATGTGTTGAATTTGTTGTAGAAACATGGGGTGTAATTTAACCATATATTTATAAACCTATGTGTTGAATTTGTTGTAGAAACAGAAAGAACCAACTTCAAATATGTATTCCCTCTTATCAACTTAATTTCCTATTCTAAGAATTCATAAATTTGTAACGAGGGAAAAAAGAAAGAAACAAAAGAAAAAATAAATAACAAACAAACAAACTTTCATCAAAACAATAATGCTAGAATGGCTCTCTTTTTACCATATTTTGCATACCACCTTATGTGGCCCACTCACACTAGTTAAATACTAATGACATTTATGTGGGACCTAATGTTTTCAACAAGTATGTGTGCGCCATAGATGTTCGCATGCAAAATATGGTAAAGAGAAGATGGTCATCCCAACATTATTGTCATCAAAAAATGGATGCAGCTAATAACAAAAATATAAGTTTAATCTCTTCTACAAGCTCAAATTACAAGGACGAGAATTTGGATGAAAGAAACCTACAAAGCCAACGAAAAGGAAAATTATTCCAAAATATGTTTGTTAACACCCAAAAACCAAATACTTGCTTTAATCGTCATAAAGAGTTGGAGGAAATGAATGAGAGCAAGGACCATAAACCATTATATAAAGATATCATGGCCACAACAATGAATTAAAGCTTTCAAACAAATATTAAATAGCAAAACAAGATCATGGCACAGCCATAGATTGGTTGGAAGCCAATCATCGGATTTGGAAATCCAAAGTGAAGCTTGTGGGTCCAAAGAATTTTTGGCCCAATAAATGTCCTTGGTAGTTTATTATTATTATTATTATTATTTAGTTAAGAATTAAATAATTATTAGTTAGTTATTTTGTTATGTTTCCAAATACTATAGGATTTGTTTGACTAATTCATTTTAAGGTTTTGGCCTATATCCTATGAAGGTCTTGACACATCTCCAAAGGTCATGTACGACTGTCTAACATGTGTCGAACACAGACACGCATAGGACACGCTCCAGACATGCTAAAAAGAGTCAGACATGCTAGGACACTTAGGACACACTATGGACATGCTACAAACACGTAGGGACACGTTGAGGATTTTTTTTCAATAAAATATAAAATTTTTAATTTTTTACTAAAATAACATACCTAAAGTTAATAAATTTGATAAAATAAAATATTTGACATAAGATATATCAAATATTTAAAAATATGACATATGATAAATATATAAAATTATATTTTTTACACGTGTCTCAACGTGTCGTGTCTTGCATTTTTTGAAAATTCAAATGTTCGCGTGTTCGTATCATGTCACATGTCCGTGCTTCTTAGCCTATATATGTAGGCTTTAAGCTCGTAATGAACAACTTTGATTAATGATACTGAGATTTTTTTTAAGGCTATTGCCATGTGAGTTTCTTTCCTGTCCTCATATTATGTTCATCATTTTGGTAGCATCGAAAGAGCTCCAATCAAACTTTGTTCCCTTCGTGAAACCGTCACTGTTGCAAATCGAAAATCTTCCAATTGCAATCAATTGAGTCGCATCCCTCCAACATCAACAGTAGCATTTGCCCCTCCGACTATCCCTTTGTCCCAACCCAATATTGTTGCAAACCAACCATCATCACTGGCGCCTTAGTCACCGAGCAACCAACCCTTTCATCTCCTTTTGTTGCAGCAACCAAGAAGCCTAGCGCATCGCAAGTTCTCTATTGAAGGAGAAGGAGACTATTGGGTTATTATCTTAACCCATTTTATTGTACACTCATGGCCCACCCAACCTTATAACCCTTATCCCGACCCATAACCTGTAAACATAGTTCTGATCTACCAAATATTACTCGAAAGCCAACTTTGGTTCACTTTAATGAATCCATATTTGATTCCCTAAACAACATTCAACCCAATAACTAATTCAGCCCACCATACCACAAGAACACCAAAGCTCTAGTTTGATTTTTCAAATTTTGTTTTTAGACAGGTTTTCGTTTGTCTTTAGTGAACTTTTTTCATATCTTAATCATTTTTTTGTACTTTTTAAATACATCAAGATTGGATGCATTATCACTAAAAACAAACGAAAACCCGAATAAAAACGCATTTCTAGTGAACTCTTTTCATATTTTAGTTGAATTTTTTTACTTTTTAGATGTATCTAAAAAGTTTTTTTAAAGAAAATAATGACTAAAATATGGGGAAAAAAATTCACCAAAGACCACAACAAAAAACACTTTTAAAAACATATTTTGAAAAACCAAACCAAATAGAGCCCAAGACTCTAAGAAAGCACAAGAGCAAATGAGCAAAGCATTGAAACAGGTGCAAGTTGCCTTAGAAAAAATAAATGTTGCTTTGGTAGATGAAAGAAAAGATACGGCAACAAACATTGGGCAGCCCCACTACCACCTCCTGCTTTGGGGTATGGACACCAACAAATTCAAGTGGATCATCTCCTAACTGATGTTGACAGAGGTGCTAAGCTAGAAGTTCCAGATTTTAATGGGGGCTATGGTATTTTTTTATTGGTTACTAAGTCTAGAGTTTATTTCAGTGGCACATGACAGAGGAAAGAAAGTTACTTTTTGCCGAAGCAAAATTGAAGGGAACAACTAGAATTTGGAGGTCTAAATTTCTTTTTCTTTTTTTAATTGGCACCGTGGTGTCCGGATCAAAGCTTAACTAATCCCCAGGGGTGCACAGGCCTCAGCAAGGAGTATTCCACAAGTGCACCACAGTTAATTCAAGGGGTTCCCCCAGTCTA